AGAGTGAGCCTGTGCACCGGGACCAGGAGAGTGCGCCTGTGCACCGGGACAGCGCACCGGGACAGCGCACCAGGGCAACGCAGCCAGGCAGCGTCCCGAACCAGGGGGACAATGCCGTGGGGTGATGCAGTGGGGCAGCAGGGCTGTGCCGTGGGGCAATGGGGCAGGGCAATGCTCTGGGGCACGGGGACAACCGTCCAGGGCACCGGGGCCACGCACGGGGACACCATGCGCTGTTACATCAGGACAATGCACCAGGCATGGGGACAACGTGCTGGCGCCACGTACTGAGGGCCCCAGAGGAATGCACCAGGGGAGTGGGGCACTGCACTGGGACAATGTCACCGGCGCGCTGGGCAGGGGCACGGCCCCATTGCACGGGGCAGGGGACAGCTGTGTCTAGCAGAAAAATTGATTACTATAATTATTATCAAACTTTATTAATTATGGTGGTAAGGAAGGGGCAGGATTTGGGGTTCCCGAGCCGCCGACGTGAAGCTCCTTCACCCTCTGCTCCGAGGGCTTTCCTTGAAGGCAGGGTGCTGTGGGGACCCGGGTGACATGGGGACATGGGTGACCTGGAGGTACGAGGTGCCCTGGGGACCTGGGATGTTATGGGGTTCCCCGGGACCGCCTGGATCCGGCCCTCACCCTGGGCTGGGTGCTGAGAGCAGGATGAAAACCAGCTTTCAGCAGCGCCGTGCCATGCTTCATCGCATCCCCACGCTCCGGTTTTCCTACACTGTGGGGAATTTCCTTAATCCGACCTCCAAATCCCAAATCCAAGTGGGGGGAACCCCCCCCAACCCTCCTTATCTCCATCCCGCGTCTCCTGGGGAAAAATTTCCTCTAAAAATTCAAATCCAGCAGAAAAAAGCAGCAAAGCTTTTTAAACCTCCTGCCTTTTCCAAACTCTGACTCAGGATTTCTGCTCGGGGACGGCGCGTCGGGGCCTCGCTGGCTCTGACTCACTGCAAAAACCAACCCCGAATCCCGAGCGGTGATTCACGGGGACACGTGCTGTGCCATAAGCGTCCGGGAATCCGAGTTGCTGCTTTCCATGGGGCTCCTTCCAAATCGCTCGCGGGCGGTAGAAAACAGCAACGCCGCGGGAGAGGGGGAATCACAACCGGGATTTATTTTTGCTGTGGATTTTGCAGCGAGAGGTGTTTATCCCGGTCGTTTCACTGGGTCAATGCATCCGTTGCTGGATTCCTGGCAATGCAATTCCCATGGGAGGAAGAGGACTCGGAGCAGAGCCCAGTTATGGGGTTGCAAGTGCATTTTTGGGGTGGCTGCGGCTGCTTTCCCTAAGGGTTTTCCGCAAAGCAAGATGCATTTTGCATAAATAAATTCAATATATTTTGCAGCTCCTGGGGTGGTCAAAGCCTCGACCCAAACAGGAGGGGGCATTGCCCTGGGCTGTCCCTGTGAAAAGTCCCCGTGTCCCCGTGTCCCCAGAGGATTCAGGGATGGCTGTACCCCCCTGCCCCCAAACACAGCCAAGGGGATGCCCAGATGTGGCCCCAGCTCTCCAGATGTTGCATGGGTCACCCAGGTCTTGAACTGCAGTGGCTAGATGTTGCCCAGGGTGCCCAGATGTTGCTCCGGGATACTCAGATATCACCTGGCATGCCCAGATATCACCTGGCATGCCCAGATGTTGCCCCAGAGTGCCCAGATGTTGCTCCGGGATACTCAGATATCACCTGGCATGCCCAGATATCACCTGGCATGCCCAGATGTTGCCCCAGAGTGCCCAGATGTTGCTCCGGGATACTCAGATATCACCTGGCATGCCCAGATATCACCTGGCATGCCCAGATGTTCCCCTACATGCCCAGATGTTGCCCCAGAGTGCCCAGATGTTGCTCCGGGATACTCAGATATCACCTGGCATGCCCAGATATCACCTGGCATGCCCAGATGTTCCCCTACATGCCCAGATGTTGCCCCAGAGTGCCCAGATGTTGCTCCGGGATACTCAGATATCACCTGGCATGCCCAGATATCACCTGGCATGCCCAGATATCACCTGGCATGCCCAGATATCACCTGGCATGCCCAGATGTTACCCAGAGTGCCCAGATGTTGCTCCGGGATACTCAGATATCACCTGGCATGCCCAGATGTTACCCAGAGTGCCCAGATGTTGCTCCGGGATACTCAGATATCACCTGGCATGCCCAGATGTTACCCAGAGTGCCCAGATGTTGCTCCGGGATACTCAGATATCACCTGGCATGCCCAGATGTTGCCCCAGGGTGTCCAGATGTTGCTCCGGGATACTCAGATATCACCTGGCATGCCCAGATGTTGCCCCAGGGTTACTCAGATATCACCTGGCATGCCCAGATATCACCTGGCATGCCCAGATGTTCCCCTACATGCCCAGATGTTGCCCCAGAGTGCCCAGATGTTGTCCCGGGTTACTCAGATATGATCCAGGGTGTCCAGATGTTGCCGCTAGATACTCAGATGTCACCCAGGGTGCCCAGGTGTTGCTCCAGGGTGCCCAGACGTTGCCCTAGGTGTCCAGAAGTTGCCCCAGGATACTCAGGTATCACCCAAGATGCTCGGGTATCACCCAGGGTGCCCAGATGTTGTCCCCAGCTGCCCTGCCGTCATCCCTGGGTGCTCCACCGTCCCACGCTGGGTCTCACAGCCTTTGGCAGCGCTGCTGCTGCCCTGGCCCCGGGAGAAGTCACCGCCTGCGGTCGTGGTTTCCTCTCCCTGTGCTGCGGCTCCTGGTCCCCACAGCCCGGCCAGGCCTGGAGTGGCCTCTGCATCCCCCCGGGCACCGTGGATTTTTGCAAGAAGCCAAGTTGGGCAGTCAAAAATAACCCCTTGTCGCAAAGACACAGCCCCATGCCCAGCTACAGGCTTGAAATCAAAGCCTGGCTCTGCCTCTGCTCCGTCACTCATCGCCCTGGCCGGGCTGCAGGAATGGGGACCCTGGGGTGGGGACGGGGGGTCTTCCCCCGCAGCCACTCATCCGTCCCCTCCCCACCTGCCCTCAGCAAGCGGTGGCTGTGGGAAAGGTGGGGATGTGTAAAATTGCAGGGATTTGGGGTAAATTCATGCACATGCTTGCACGGGCACGGGCACATGTGCAGGTACAGCTGCACAGTTGGGTGTATGGCTGCACAGATGTGTGTGCGTGCAGCTGTGTGTGCACACGTGCGTGCACATGCGTGCATGCACACAGGTGTACATAGCTGCGCACACACATGCACACACTCACGTGTGTCTGCACACTCGTAAATGCATGCATGCATACATGTGTACGTGGCTGCACACGCACATGCACGTGTACCTGCACACACACACACACATGCATGTGACTGCACGCACACGTGCACGCAGAGACATATGCATACACATGTACACGGCTGTGCATAAACACGCACACGTCTGCGTGCACATGGCTGCACACACACACACATGGATGTGCACACACACACGGCTGCACACACACACACACACACGTGTACAGGCCCACACATGTGTGGGGCTCTGGGACTGGGGACTAGCTGGGGACATTGCCCTCCTCCCTGTCTGCTTCATGCTGCTGCCAGTCCCCGGATCCTGCTGTTGTCCCACCAGTGGGGACGGTCACCTGGGGGTCCCACAAGCTGCCTGCGGCCCCTCAGCCCGAGTGCCACCCTGCCCGTGGGGTGGAGACAGAGTGGGCACGGCGGGACTGGGTCCCCAGGTGCGATGGCAAGAGGGGGTCCCATGGGTCCCTGCTGTCCCCAGGTGTGGTGGCGGAGGGGATCCCGTGGGTCCCCCTGTCCCCAGGCTGGTGGAGGGGGTCCCCTGGGTCCCCACCGGTGGCTCCGGAGTGGCACCGGCAGCAAGCAGCCGTGCCCCCCGGGCAGAGTGGTGTCCCCCGGCGGAGACCGGGGTGTCCCCCTGAGCCGGTCCCCGGTGCAAGAGGACCCCCGGGGGGAGGTGGGGACCCCCCGGGGCGTGCCGGGGGGGC